GGGGATTCGAACCCGCCACCTTAGGTGTATGTGGCTGGCGCCTTAGCCGCTTGAGCCACAGGCACCGAGCCACAAGTCAGGTTTTTAAAACTCATATCGGGAGTAGGGTACCGGCCCCATATACTGGAGGTGGTGGGTTCAAACCCAGCCCTGGCCAAAAGCCACAAAAAAACCCCCCCCAAAAACCTCATATCGGTTTATTAGGTTTACTTATCAATGTAATTTAAATAGATATTGTGCCTTTTAAAGTCCTTTCTCATTATTTGCTTATATTAACTTTATCTGTTGCAACATAATATGTAAAATATGGGTTTGCATGTCAAATATTTTGTTCTTACGTTGACATTTATATATTTTTAATTTATTTATACTAAAGTATTTTAAATTTTTTAAAAAATGTATTGCATTATTGTAGGAAACTGAGCCAAAGCTGTCACCTAGCTGGAATCCCAAAATTATTTATGAGCCACACCCACAACTAACTAGAAATTTACCAGAGATTGCACCCTCTGACCCAGTGCAGATTGGAGCATTAATTGGTAGGTTGGAGTTGAGTCTCACGTTGAAACAAAATGAAGTACTGCCTGGAGCTAAGGTCAGTGTTTGTTTTGTTTTTTACACCAAAAACCAAAATAAAAGTACAAGTATTTTTTTAATCATGTATGGTGACACACTGATTGATTACTATAGATTTTCCTGTAACTAGAGTACCTGCTATCTCAGAGTTAGATTTTTTCCCCCCAAACTTTTGAGGGGGTAGAAATGTTTTGTTACATGGATAGTTTTTTTTTTTTTTTTTGAGACAGAGCCTCAAGCTGTTCCCCTGGGTAGCGTGCTGTGGCATCACAGCTCACAGCAACCTCCAACTCCTGGGCTCAAACGAGTCTCTTGCCTCAGCCTCCCAAGTAGCTGGGACTATAGGCGCCCGCCACAACGCCCGGCCATTTTTTGGTTGCAGCCATCGTTGTTTGGCAGGCCCGGGCCGGATTTGAACCCGCCACCTTAGGTGTATGTGGCTGGCGCCTTAGCCACTTGAGCCACAAGTGCCAAGCCTGGTTAGTTTTTATAGTACTTTGAGTCAGGGTTATAAGAGTGCCCATCCCTTGAATAGTGTTCATTGTACCTATTAGGTAAGTTTTTTCCTTTCCCCTTCCTGGTGTTGATTTTCAGTGACTTTTCTCTGTGAACTTGTGAACTCCTCTGTTAGTTGGAATTTATTAGAGAGTACATATGGTGTTTGTTTTTTCATTCTTGAGATTTTTCATTTAAGATAATAGTTTCTAATTCCATCCAAATTGCTGCAAAAGTCATTAATTTAACCTTTTTATGGCTGAGTAGTACTCCATGGTATACATATTTTGTTAATCCCCTCAGAGTTAGCATTTTTATACAGTTGGTGCCTCTGTTCTTAAGTCACAACATCTATATGAGGACTGCCTTTGCCCTATTACAACTCAGATTTTATAAAGAGAAGTCTCTAAAACTTGCTCTCCTCTGGCCTAACTGTTCAGAAACAAAGTACTCCTCCTTTTTATATTAGGGATGGTGTATTTCAGGGAAGTAGGAATTTTTTAAATAATCTCTTTTATCATCAAGATAAACTCAAGAAGTTTAAAGAAAAGTAAATTTGGAAAGGAAGAAGTTGACTATTGAAGGTGTTTGTTGTTTGTTTTGATCAATGTGAACTCAGACTTTTGTACATGATATTCAGATTTGTGTAAATGCCTTTTACAGTGTAAAACATTATGTATACATTTGAATAAATGTAAACGTATGTTACTTTTAGAGTCAGTCTATTAGATGAAAAGCATCTGGAAATACTGCATGATTACATTGTTTGGCAGCTAGTATTTAATATTTGGAGTATTACCATTACCATTATTGCCTATACAATATTTTTTGTGTAATAATTTGAGTATATTTTGTTCTTATCTAATGTAAAATGGAAAAACAAGCTAAATGGAAAAACAAAAGTTCTGGATATTAAGATTGAGAAACAAATTTTATAACATTAATACAGTATACACACAAACATGGTGTAAACTAGAGGTGCTTAAAATGGCACATCTTTAGTCTCTCTTTTCTTTTCTGTTTTTTTTTTTTTTTTTGAGACAGTCTCAAGCTTTTTCCCTGGGTAGAATGCCCTGGTGTCATAGCTCAAAGCAACTTCCAACTCTTGGGCTTCTTGCCTCAGTTTTTCTATTTTTCGTAGAGATGAGGGGGGTCTTGCTTTTGCTTAGGCTGGTCTTGAACTTGTGAGCTCAAGCAATCCACCTTCCTTGGCCTCTCAGCGTGCTAGGATTACAGGTGTGAGCCACTGTGCCCGGCCTTTAGTCTCTTTCTGAAGTTCATTAGACTTAAGTATATCGACTGTGGGTTCAACATGTTAGGAAAGATGTTATAACCGCATTATATTGAGCTGAAAATTTTTTAGTTGTTATGTACTTATATGTTTCTTTTTTTTTTTCTTCAGTTTTTGGCCAGGGCTGGGTTTGAACCTGCCACCTCTGGCATATAGGTCTGGTGCCCTACTCCTTTGAGCTACAGGTGCCGCCTGTACTTACATATTTCTAAAAGAAATTAATATGTACTTTGGTCTTTGTATGCCAAACTCAGAATGTATAAATAATGAAATATATATTTCTGTGAAAATTTTATTTTCTATAAATGAGAAACGACACTTGATTGTCTATTTTAATGAAGGTCAGAGATTGTGATTTCAATAATAAAAAATTAAAAAACAATTGTTTAGTTTGGCGTATAGTCAGAAACACATTTTCCCACTCCTCCTAGCCTTAATTACTTGCTGCTTCATGGGCTGGAACGTCAGTAGTCATTAAGGAGCCCACAAAACAAGCAATCTGAGGGCAGAACAGGGATGCCACACTATGGATGGAGTGAGGGATTTCTATCCTGGTCAGTTAAAACCCGGCTCTGGATCTTTTACATGGCCATGTACAAGTCACTTAATCTTTGTAAGTGTTTCCATATTTGACCAGGAACAGTAATAAGAATTAGAGAAAATATATGGGGGGGGGGGGAGTGCCAAAAAAATGTATACACGTGGGCAGTGCCTATAGCTCAAAGGAGTAGGGCACCGCCCCATATGCTGGAGGTGGCAGGTTCAAACACGGCCCTGGCCAAAAAAAACTGCAAAAAAAAAAAAATGTATGCACATAAGAGATGTTATCTGTGTTTCTTTGTGAAGTTGAATTTCATTATGGTAGCAATGTGATGTGTAGTATAACATTAATTCAAAAGATGTTTCTATAGGCTAGACAGTCAAAATGACAGAGTAGTGAAATTCCTTTTGTTAGAGTTGTTGTTGGAGGAGCACAAAACCATTTTGAAATCATATTTGAAATTTCAGAAGATTGGGAAAGTATGATGACTATGGAGGCATGAGTATATAACAGAACCTCTAACATGCCTAGCAATTGCACACATTCTTGATAAGTTTGAGATTCATGGTGCTGTGTGTGATGTGTACAAGGGAAGATTCAGGAGGCTTCGCATAGCAGTAAGTCCTTCTTCTGCTATGGTGTTGGAATAGTTCCCTTGCTTGCCGTAGAAGTCTACCAAACAGTGTGCTCGTGAGACAGGAGTTAGCAAAACGAGTATACGATGCATTCTTTTTTTTTTTTTTTTTTTGAGGCTAGTCAAGCAAAGCTGTGGGAGTGGAGAAGGAACAAAGAAATCTGTAATTGGTTATGATCAATTAGTTATAAACACCACTGCAGTTGGACCAGCCATGATGCATTCTTAAAACAGCAAAATGGAAAGTTTTCATCCCCAGATTATTACCTGGACTGAGACATGAGAGAGCTTTCCTCCATGAGAATTTGCCAGAACAATGGAGAGGATGAAGAGGTGTGGTTGAGTTTCCCCCACATTCTTTTGACTTAACACCTCTTGACTTCTACCTTTAAGGGGGACCTTAAAGGATGTGGTATACTGTAGAAAAACCTCTACACTTTGGGAAGAACCTGAAACAGCATGTGCAGCTTATACAAGCGGACACTTCGGTCAGCATTGTTGAAGCAGTAGTTCACCCTAATCAGAAGTGTCTAGACACTGATGGTAACCACTTTGAGTACCTCTTAGAATTGCAGAAGTCAAATGTGACTTGTTTTCATCTTTTTTATTGGTATATATTGAGTATTATACTTTTAATACAGTTTTGTCCTATCTCAGAATGTATATATGTTTTTTTGGCACTCTCTATATGTAAAAGCACTTAGCATGGAACCCCAAAACAAAAACAAAAGTGTTGAGAATGATTATTAATATCAGAGAATGCATTATATTCGTAGATCATAGAAATTTCCCAAAATCACTATGTAATTTATTTTACTTTTTGTTTTTAAATTAGAAGGAGTTTGTTTTTTCCTGAGGAAGCAGATGTTTTCCAAATATAAATGTGCTTTATTAATTACATTATTTTTCAATTGCAAATGGCACAGTGTTAATAGGAGTCAGTGATAGGTAGCATATTAGAAATAAGAAGTGAATGAAAAGTAAGGCAGGGATATTCAGCTTTTCAGAATGTAGTATGGAGAGTAGTGAAATTCCTTTAGTTAGAGTATATGGAATCAGGAAGAGATTGGGATGGAGCTTTTATTTCTAGGAGGAACAATGGGCAAAGAGTTGGAAAAGAGAAGGGAGGTCAACATAAGTACAGTCTTCCATCCACATCTCTGCTGTGGCTTCCACTCCCATCCCCAGGAGAGTGCAGACTTTGTAGAATTCAGTACTCTCTGAGAGAGGCACACTGTTGGTAGAGCAGGTCCTCGTATCCTTTACTGTGATCCATGGTAGACTCGTAAAAGCCATCTTTATTGGCTCTTGGCTTAGTTTTTTGAAAGTCAGTGACTACTATACTATTGCTATCTTCATTTTCTTTCCTGGAGACTGTCTTAAACCTTCCTCAAATATTTTGAATATTTAGAAGGCTTAAAAAGACAAAAAGTATGACATTGGACTGCAAACATGAAATTTCTCAAGTGGATTTTCCCCCTTAGGACAACAGTTTGATGATCTTAAGTCTTTTCATTTAGATTGTGTGAATTAGTGGAAAGAATCTTCGGTGAAAAAATTGAAGACTAATCAATTAGTAATCATCTCGGTGCATTAAAATACTTTGATATTTATGGTGGTGAGGTTATAAAGAATATTCATTCTGAATAGTTTTTTTTTTCTTTTTAAGTTGGATGTTGATGGACAGATAGACTCTATTCATCTATTCCTGTCACCGAGACAGGTGCACTTGCTTTTGGATATGTTGGCAGCTATTGCTGGACCAGGCAAGTATAACTGTTTTTTTTTTTTTTTATAACATTTTTAATATTTAAAAACTTTTAAATTAAAATATGTGGTATTCTTATAGGAAAGACTTATTTTTGAATGTGAAACTAAAGATATAAATACAAATCCAGAATAGTTAAATTTGACTGGGTCTTTTGAATTGTGTTACCACGTCAGAAGTTTGTATTCAGATTATTTGTGTCACATTCTTTTCTTTCTTTCTTTTTTTTTGGGGAGACAGAATCTTATTTTGTCGCCCTTGGTGTCGCCCTTGGTAGAGTGCCATGGCATCACAGTTCACAGCAACCTTAAACTCTTGGGCTTAAGCAATTCTCTTGCCTCAGCCTCCCAAGTAGATGGGACTACAAGTGCTGCCACAACGCCTGGCTTGTTCTGGGTTAGGCTGGTCTTGAACTTGTGAAGTCAGACAATCTACCCGCCTTGGCCTTTCATAGTGCTGGGATTATAGGCGTGAGCCACCGCGCCAGATCCTGTGTCACATTCTTAACCTTTTCAAAATTGTTCTGATTTACTTCTGAACTTAGAAATAGTACTTCATACAGCTGAGAAAATATAATTCTCGAACACATTTAAACATATTTTTAATGACTTGTATCTGTCAGAGATAAGATTTTGATTCCTGGGTTTCAAGGAAATTAAAGCAGTTGCTTTAATCTCTGACTCAAACAACAGTGGTTTGCACTGATACTAAGTTGCTATTGGTATTAGATAAATGGGTTTTGGGAAAAATGCTTAAGGAACTTCAAATTTAATTTACTCTTTTGCTTTTCTTTTGTAGAAAATTCTAGCAAAATAGGGTTAGTTAATAAAGATAGGAAAAATCGACCCATGCAGCAGGAAGATGAGTATCGAATTCAGATGGAATTAAACCGGTATTATTTGAGAAAAGATTCTCTGTCTGTGGGTGTATCTTCAGAACAAAGCTTTTATGAGACAGATACGGCCCGTACACCTTCTAGTCGTGGTAAGCAGCTTACACAGTTGATATCAGGGTCACATGTTACTCTCCTAGAAAAGTTAAACTTAATTTTGGCTGCTGTGAAAAGAAGTTTAGCATTGAAAGAGCAAAAGATTCATACTGTAAGAAAGTTTTAGTTTATAAATTGATCAAGCCACAGCATCATAGTGGCATACTAGTAAACAGGTGCTGTAGTATATATTTTTTGATTGGGTAGTTTTGTTTTGTAAATGATTTATTCTGATAAAAGTCAGCTTAAAAATATGAATTTTATAGAAAATAAGTGTTTCAGAATTTATAAGCATTAATACCATAAATAATAAGAATCAATTTATGTATAGAATATTGAACCAAATAAAAATCAGAGGATTCAAAAAAAAAAATCAGAGGATTCGTAAGAAATTTTGGCCATAACAAACTACATCTGGATGAGGGTAAAAAAAAAAAGAAAGGAGGAAACTAGAAAGAAGGAACTAAAACATAAATAGAATTCTAAATAATGTATTTGGCTCTTTTTTTTTTTTTTTTCACAGTTTTTGACTAGGGCTGGGTTTGAACCTGCCACCTCCGGTATATGGGACCGGTGCCCTACTCCTTTGAGCCACAGGCACCACCCTCTTTTTTATTCATTTTTAAAAAATAACTGTATCCATATGAAACTAGGGATTGCAATATATTTATACTACTTTAAAGTCTGGTTTTTAACTCCCAAACTGTGATATGACATCCAAAAACATACCATGTAATAATGTATGTCATGTATTTGCAAAACAAAGCATATTTATTAGTAGGATAGCTTAATTTTTTCTTAATTTGAGTTTTTACTATGCCATTAATATCTTGCATTCAAAGAAATTACTCCATTGGAAGTAACATGAAATTTGGGACATCGCTGTATCTCATATACTCTGAAGGAAGATGATTACATTAACATACACTATTTCACTTTAAGACTTTAATCGATGGGATTATAATGCAAGTGACAAAGTTTAATTTTCTCTAGAAGAAGAAGTTTTCTTCTCCATGGCTGATATGGACATGTCCCATAGTCTGTCTTCTCTTCCACCCTTGGGGGATCCCCCAAACATGGACCTTGAGTTATCATTAACTAGTACATATACAAATACCCCAGCAGGATCTCCATTAAGTGCTACTGTGGTAAAGTATTATTTATATTTTTCTTCTAGCCTTGAAAAGTTGCTTCTAAAATTCTATACTTTATTTATATGCTTTAAAATAAAATCTTTTATAGCTTCAGCCAACTTGGGGAGATTTCCTTGATCATCATAAAGATCAGCCAGTAAGAGGGTCAACATTTCCGTCTAACCTAGTTCACCCAGCAACTTTACAGAAGACAGGTAAGTAAATAAAGACATTGGTGTTTTGCTTCGTTGGAATTTTTTTTTTTTTTTTTTTTGAGACAGAATTTCATTATGTCACCCTTGGTAGAGTGCTGTGGTGTCATAGCCCCCAGCAAGCTCAAACTCTTGGCTTAGCGATTCTGTTGCCTCAGCCTCCCAAGTAGCTGGGACTACAGTCACCCGCCACAACACCCAGCTATTTTTTTGTTGCAGTTGTTTAGTTGGCTGGGGCTGGGTTCGAACCTGCCACCCTTGAGATATGTGGCTGGCACAGTAACCACTGTGTACGGACGCTGAGCCTTTGTTGGAATTTTTTGAAGTTTAAAAATTAAAAGCAACTTTGTTTCTTTTCATTATTTTTAATTAATTTGTTTTTATTTATTTTTTTGAGGCAGGGTCTCATTCTGTCTCCTAGGTACAGTCATAGCTCACTGTAGCCTCAAACTCTTGGGCTCAAGCAATTCCTCAGCCTTCAGAGTAGCTAGAATGACAGGTGCACACCATCAGGACTGGCCTCAATTTTGTTTCTTTCTAAAAATATGCCATTTTATTTTTTCTTTTCCTTTTCTTCATACTTTTTTTTTGGTTAGGCTATTTAACAAAGTTTAGTAGGAAAATGAACATTGTCCAACAGTTCACTGTGAACTGTTTTGGAATAGTTGCACATTCATTGTATTCTTTGTGTATTTAAATGTGTAAATATTTTTAGTGAAAAAGTACACCATAAGTTTCATATTAGTTTTATAGTTTAGGAGTCTCAGTCAAAATGTCTGATTTCTGTTTCACTGTTTACATATTCCTTGAAAGAATTTTAGGTATTCTTTCCTGCAAAATTTAATTGAAATAGGAAAGGAAAATCTGGTGAGCAACTTTTTTTTAATTTTTTGAGACAGCGTCTTACTTTGTCACCCTGAGTAGAGTGCTGTAGTGTCACAGCTCACAGCAACCTCAAACTCTTGAGCTCAAGGGATCTCTTGCCTAAGCCTCCCAAGTAGCTGAGACTACAAGTGCCTACCATGGTGCCCAGCTATTTTTTAGAGATAGGGTCTCACTGTTGCTCACGCTGGTCTTGAACTCATGAGCTCAGGCAGTCTATCCACCTCAGGCTCCCAGAGTGCTAGGATTACAGGCATGAGCCACAATGCCTGGCCTGAGCAACTTCTTATTAATTGACGTTTCCAGTATAGTGTTATTAATGACCAAAAGCTTTGTTCATATGCTTACACATCTGAACAAACACATTCTTTGGTGCTTCAAGTATCAAGGAACCTGGTATAAGATACAGTAAAATATTATTTTCTTTTACTTAAATTAGTTGTTTAGTATCATTTAAACTGTCACGAGATAATCTGTTTCTTAAAGCTAAAAATGAGTAAATGTTTTATCATTTGATATAATAGATTGTTTTTAAGTATTAAATTTTAGTATATAATTTTTATACATGTGTTTCCAGCTCTCCCATCTAGGTCTGTTTCAGTGGACGAATCCAGGCCTGAACTTATTTTTAGACTAGCTGTGGGAAGCTTTTCGATATCTGTGCTTCACATTGATCCTTTATCTCCACCTGAAACGTCACTGAACCTTAATCCATTGACACCTATGGCGATAACTTTCTTTACTTGCATAGAAAAGATTGATCCAGCCAGATTTTCAACGGAAGATTTTAAATCTTTCCGAGCAGTATTTGCAGAAGCTTGCTCACATGATCACCTTAGGTAAAGTCTGTGATATTTACTAATGATCTTTGAAAAAAGAACCAAATGTGAACTTTTGTATCCAATCTAGCCTACGTATCAACTTTTGTTTTTCTGATTCACATTTTATTTATAAATGAATGAAATATGTGAAGTTTTCTTGTAATGCTGAAAAAATGTTTAGGGTAGAATCTCTTCTTCAGGTTATTAGCATGCAGAACAATGTTGATACAAGATCTAGAAAATCTGTAGTTTTCTGAATTATCTCTTTTTAGCTCTCTGCCCTGCTCTTGTTAAAGTTTCTTAGACCACATTTTTCCATCATTGCTGTTGACACTATTATAGTGATAAAAACAGTGTTTATCATCACTGTTTAGTAGTGATGACAGTGGTTCTGAGAGCAGAAGGAACTACTGAGAAGCAACTTGAAAATGATCCATTTGTCATTGGCCATGGGCTAGAAAATAATATCAAGGTGGATGCTCAGCTTGGATGCCACATTTTAAACTTCTGCTTTGAAATAAAATATCAAAACTGTCCTAATAGCCAATGAGCCTTTCATGGGTTGAGTCCTAATAGGTGAGGAGATATTATAATTGAATTTGTAAGTATGGTTGATGTACAAACACTATTTTAACCTGAACATGATCTGTAAATTGTTGATTGATGTATTATTTGATATAGTGACTTAGCACATATTAATATTTTTAGAAAATACTTGGGAGTTTTCATCTTTTTGATGTTTTTGAAGAACTAAAATTGATACACAAAGTAGTTTTGACATCTAGTAAAAGAACCCAAGAAGTTAGGACAATGGTATTTGTTATCAAACTGTAAAAACTTTTTTTCTTCCCATTTTTGCCATGGTTTCAAATATATGCCAGTAGAAAATATGACAAAAGCCATAGGAACTAGAGGTAGACGTCATTTGTGTCTGGCTCATGTGGTTTTTAAAATACTACATGATATTTTTGGATAATCCTAAGAAACTATTTCATATATTTTATAGATTTGAAAATCTGGGAAAAAATATATCCTGGAAAATTGGGAAAGAAATATATGATATCCTTAGGAGTATTAGTTATTGCTAACAATTTGAACTTGTCAGAATAGATAGATAATTTTTATGTTAACATCTGTTTACTATTCTTCTGTTTATGATACATTGTTTAATGTGGAAGTATAGACACTCTAAAATGCTGTCTTTTTTATAATAGATTTCTAGGCACTGGCATCAAAGTATCCTATGAACAAAGGCAAAGACCAGCTTCCCGATACTTTAGTACAGATATGTCCATTGGGCAAATGGAGTTTTTGGAGTGCCTATTTCCAACTGATTCTCATTCTGTTCCTCCTCATTATACAGAGGTAAATGTTGGATACTTTTAGAATTATTTTTAACATATCTTTTTAATAATTGTATTAATAACAATAATTTCCTTAGAAATATATAGGAAGTTATATAGGAGGAGTATTGTCTTTTTTAAAAAAACAATTGTGTTTGGTTTCTTTTGAAACAGATTTTAAAGTATGGCATTTGAGACCATTATGAGTCTGTTAGAATTTTAAATTTAAGGTTGACTTGTTTAGGAGTGGCAGACAGTTTGTGAGACAAATGACTTCATTTCACTCATTTTCACAATATGAAAGTCTTTCTTTCAGAAGTATTCTATTATTGTACAAATATTGAATGCTTGGAATTTGCTAAGCACTGCTCAAGACAAGTGAAATGTTTTGTGTTCATTTATTGTTAATATAATTTTCTTTCCTAATATTAAAGTAACCTAGAAAAACTTACAAAAGCTGACAAAATAACATTTATTACTGTAACCTTGCCATTATATATTATTTTTAAAGCACTTTCTTGGGAGTTAATTTATTTGAGTCCTCACCTGCATTTTGCAGATGAGATACTAAATATCACACAAGTTAACTAATTAGTCTAAAATTCACATTGCTAGTAAATAACAAAAATGAAACTTGAAGCCAGCTTTTCTGACTTCCAAAAGCTCTTTCCTCTATTATAGTGGCACCTCTGTTAATTCATGTGATTAGAGATTATCTTACACTTAGTTTATCTTCATCTTTATTTTTAAGCTTTTAACGTTCCTTTCCAAAGAGGGAACTGATTCTCATCCCCCTGTGTGTCTTCAGCTTCATTATAAGCATTCTGAGAATAGAGGGCCCCAGGTAAGAGATCTTTTTATGTAATTACCACCTGTAAATTTTCCTTTCTTTTTTTTTTTTTAACCATATCTAATTTATCTGAACATTGTCACTTGATATATATTGTCCCAATTGTAAGGTTTTAAACTAATTTCATAATATTTTTAGTGATCATATTAATACCCTTTTTTTTTTTTTAAGGGCACTCAAGCAAGACTTAGTTCAGTTCCTCAGAAGGCAGAATTACAAATTAAATTAAGTCCAGTATGTTGTGAATTGGATATAAGTATTGTGGACAGGTTAAATTCTTTGCTTCAACCACAGAAACTTACCACAGTAGAGATGATGGCATCCCACATGTATACTTCATATAATAAGCATATTAGTCTGGTAAGTATTCAAAAAGTTGCAAATACTAATAATCATAGTTAGGTAAGAGGTTTGTATGGATAATTTCTGGGCTTAAGTATTCTTAATAAACCGTATATATTATTAAAATAGCATTATTTGTAATAATGAAAAAATGGAGACATCTTTTATGTCTTGATAGTAGACTAGCTATATAACTTTTGATAATATACTGAATGAAATTTATGTAGTTGTTTTAAATGATAGTTATGAAGATAATATACCACCATGAAGAAGGCCTAAGTGTTAAGTGGAAAAGTAGAATGTATTATTCTACATAAAATTTTATCACAACTGCATAAATTAAATTGATGTATAGATAAGAATGGGTAGAAATATGTCATATGATAGCTTTGATGTGTTATTGTGTTATAGTGGAGTTAGATTTCCTTTACTTTTCTGTGTTTATCTGAATTTTATAAACTGTGTTTGTAAAGTCTTATCTATTTCACATTTAGTGAACTACTGGAACCATGTAAAAAATGTAGCCTAAACAAAATAGGATGTACTTCTGAAAATAACCTATTGAGCCTCACATTATATTACTTTTACTTAGACCTGTTGCCCTGAGATCTTTTAAAGCAAATTAAGTAAGTCACATTTGCAAGGAATCTGTTAGAAAATTTAGGGGTGGAATTTGGGGGCTGTAGTATCAGGATGTTAACAACTTTGGTTAAAAGGAAAAGGAAAAAGATATTTTTTCTGCATGTTTGTTTTTCCCTTAGTGGTGAATGTTCACATTAAAATTAGCATTCTTTTTCTTAAATTCTTATCAATTGCTAGTTATTTTATTTGCTTTTTTTTTTTTTGCAGTTTTTGGCTGGGGCTGGTTTGAACCTGCCACCTCCTGTATATGGGGCCGGTGCCCTACTCTTTTGAGCCACAGGCGCTGCCCAATTGCTAGTTATTTTAAATTGTTGTGGGCTAGTTTGTATATTTGCTGTTAGCTATAGATGTATTGGAATGATGGTTTAATCTCTTGGTTTATTTATTTATTTATTTATTTATTTTTTCTGCAGTTTTTGGCCGGGGCTGGGTTTGAACCCGCCACCTCTGGCATATGGGACCAGCGCCCTACTCCTTTTGAGCCACAGGCACCTCCCTTGGTTTATTTTTGTTTAAGACTGAGGTGCTGGCTCGGCGCCTATAGCTCAACTGGCTAAGGCGCCAGCCACGTACACCTAAGGTGGTGGGTTCGAATCCCCAGCCTGGACCCGCCAAACAATAATGACGGCTGCAACCAAAAAAAATAGCCAGGCATTGTGGCAGGCGCCTGTGGTCCCAGCTACTTGGGAGGCGGAGGCAGGAGACTCACTGGAGCCCAGGAGTTGGAGGTTGCTGTGAGCTGTAATGCCACGGCACTCTACCCAGGGGGACAGCTTGAGGCTCTGTCTCAAAAAAAAAAAACAAAACAAAACAAAGACTGAGGTGCTTAGTATAAGAAAGTCAAATAGGGAAGACATAGAAGAGCTTTGGTAAAATCCAAGTCTAGCATAATAGGGGAGCTTTTTAATCTCAGAGTCTAGAAACTTATTTAAGAAATTGAGGAGTCTATCTATAGTGTACTAGAGCTTTATTAGTTTCAATACAGGCAGTCCCTGGGGTATGAATGAGATAGGTTCTATAGATTTGTTAAGTTGAATTTGTATGTGAATTGGAATAGGTACATTTACCTATTACTTATGATAGCCTCTGTTCATAGATGTGAGTTTTACATCAGTTCGACATTTATAACTTGGGAATTGCCTGTACATTTTAGAGAAAAATTAGAAATAGGTTTCTGTTTGAATGGCACGTTCTTTGACCCTTTTACTGTAACATGGCTTTGGGTAAATGGTGAATATGTTTTAGTTTCTTAGAGCCATTTGATGAGATCATTCCTTTGGATTGGATAGGAGATTAGGGTGAATCGTTTAGTGAATATTTGTCTAGAACCTATGATGTGCCACCCTCTGGGCTTCGTCTTGGAACTACAAAGATGAGTCAGGGATAGGCCTTTGTATTTGGCACAATGTGATTTCACATTGATTTTAAAGTAGCACATTGGTAGGTAAATCCCTCAGATTAAATGTTGGACACTATAGTGATTTTATGTATGTATGTATGTATTTTGTATTTTTTATGTATGTATGTATATTTATTTATACATACATAGGTTTAATTTTTTTAAATATTTAAATATTTGTCACCCTCAATAGAGTGAGTGACATCATAGCTCGCAGTAACCTCAAACTCTTGGGTTCAAACGATTCTCTGGCCTCAGCCTTCTAAGTAGCTGGGACTACAGGTGCCCGCCACAACATCCAGCTGTTTTTAGAGATGGGGTTTCACTCTAGCTCAGGCTGGTATCAAACTTGTGAGCTCAGGCAATCCACCTGTGTGGGCCTCCCAGAGTGTTAGGATTACAGGCGTGAGCCACCGTGCCTGACCAACAGTATAGCGATCTTTAAGCATGTAGAATTTGTTGATAGGCTAATTTACACACTGTTCATTTTTAGTTTATAGTAAGATATAGATGCATCTATAGCACCTTTGTCTTCACTTTGGTTCAGTTTTTATTTTGATTTATTTTTGCTTTTTTATATCAAGTTTTAACTTTTGCCAGTAGTTGTTGCATTATAAAGTTTTATTACACTAAAACTAGTATGGTAGTAGTTAATTTGAATTGTATTCTAATGTGTTACACCAAGTGGAAAAAGAGTGATTATATGTATTGTAATGTTGAATACTAATGTTATTTGTGCTTATTTACTGGATTTAATATTTTGTCATATTTTTGATGTTTTATATTTTAGCACAAGGCTTTCACTGAAGTTTTTCTAGATGATTCTCATAGTCCTACAAATTGTCGGATATCAGTACAAGTTGCCACACCAGCATTAAACCTTTCTGTTCGCTTCCCAATACCTGATCTTCGATCAGATCAAGAAAGAGGACCGTGGTTTAAGAAGTCACTTCAGAAGGAGATCCTTCATTTGGCATTCACTGATCTAGAATTTAAGACTGAATTTATAGGAGGATCAACTCCAGAGCAAATTAAATTGGAACTTACATTTAGAGAACTAGTTGGTAAGATTGAATGTGCCTGTGAAAGGGCCATATAGTTGCTACTGAAACTTAGATCACAGCAGTATCCGACAGCCCCACAATATAATAAAATTAAAGAACATTATGTTTGGAAACAAGACCAGTAGTTTTTTTCCCCATGTTGTATACAGATGTGACATAAGTCACTTAAAAAAATTAGTGAGGATGGTGATTTAGTCACTTTGTTAAAATACTTTCTGTAAGGGAATATAGTGCTTTAGCCTATATTTTTATTGCCACCTGTCACTTAATTTGTTGTAGACCTGATAATAGAATGTATTGAGTGCTACTCTATGTTACGTACTGTGCCAACCACTTCACACACATTGTCTTGTTTCCTTTAATCATAGTCACTTAGGATGATAATATACTTATTTTTCCAATTATAATTTAATAGATGAGGCAATCTGTGGACTTAGAAGGAGGTATCTTCCAAGATCATGTAGTAAGTGGTCAGAATCAAGATTCAAACCTAAGTTGGACATGAGAGTTTGAGCTTTTAACCATTATATTAACCTCATGACTTTTCTTTATAAAACCTGTTTTGAGTTCTTCTGCATTGTTTTGCTTTTCCTTTTTTTTCCTCTAAGTTTTACTTCATAAAACCTATTTTAGGTTTTTCTGCATTACTTTTTGTTAATGATGGGACTATATATGGGATATCTATATAAACTTAGAGTGAACCAAGTCTGTGAAAAACTCTGGGAGATCTGTTATCCTGTGGTTCTTAAATTACCTGCCTCTGCCACCCTTCCTCTGTTACCACCCTCCCCTGCCCCACTCCCACTCCTGCCTTCATCCCCACTTTGGGAATAGGTAGGCTATAGGATTTTCCTTTCTGTTCTGAGTTTTACATATCTTAGGTGATATTTAAAATTGACTTTTGGCAATTATGACTTCTTGAAAATGCCTTTAGATATGATTATCACTTATCTCCAGTGGCAAAAAACTTATTATTCTGGAGAAAAACCATTCTAGGGCAGTGCCTGTGGATCAAAGGAGCAGGGTGCCGGCCCTGTATGCCGGAGGTGGCGAGTTCAAACCCAGCCCCGGCCAAAAAACTGCAAAAAAAAAACCCATTCTTCAATTGTAAAATGGAATGACCAAACATGTATAGAGTTATTTTGAATAGAATAATTCTTACAGTGCTTCGTACAAAATACATATTTAAGGAATATGGTTATTTATGTTTCTAGTGGTAGATTAATTGCATAAACTTTTATGAAGTATTAATAGCACTCAGCATGTGATAACTGCTGTATTTACTGTGCTATATTTATGCATCTTATACATTAAACATCAGAACTTAAGGATTTGAGTTTGAACACAAAACCGCATCTTTAATTTATCTGCTCATCCTGTCTGTGTACATTAATGTGTACACAGAAACAGAAACAAATGAATAAATACTGTACAATGTAATGCTGTGTTAAGTTCCTGATTCAGGAGAAATAGAGGATCTTTTAGCACTTGAGAAGAAATGCTTTTCAGTAAATCAGTCTTATTTCATTAGGGTCATTCCAGGAAGATAAAGGAGAACCATCTATTAAGTTTTTCCATGTGTCTAGTAGAGTAGATGGAGATACAACATCATCAGATGACTTTGACTGGCCACGGTGAGTAAACAAATACATAGGTTTAATGGGGGTTTTCTTTTAAAAATCAGTATAGTTCTTTTAATCAACATTTTTGACATTAAATATTTAGCTTTGATGAAATAACCCAGAAAAACATGGACAAGTCAAATAAAAAATAATATCGAGCACTACTTTATAAAAGGTATATGTTAGATAGTATGATAGAAGGAAATATAAAATGTCCTATTTTTTTGAGACAGAGTCTCATTATGTTGTCCTCAGTAGCATGCCATGGTGTCACAGCTCACAGCAACCTCAAGCTCTTGGGCTTAAGCGATTCTCCTGCCTCAGCCTCCCAAGTAGCTGGGACTACAGGCGCCCACCACAATGCCTGGTTATTTTTTGTTGCAGTTGTCATTGTTGTTTTGCTGGCCTGGGCCGACTTTGAACCTGCCACCCTTGGTGTATGTGGCTGGCGTCGTAACCACTGTGCTATAGGCACTGAGCCTCTTTTTTTTTTTTTCCTCTTTTTTTGCTCTAAGATTCTAAGATATGACCTGGGCATCAAGTATATGTTAAAAATGCCACTAGGTGATTTTGATATGTGGCTCAATTTCAAAACTCACTATTCCAGTACTTCTCAGGCAGGAGGAATCATGCATCAGTTCTATTAGTCTGATCATGTGCTTGGATCATATGTAAGAAACTCAGTTTAGGGCTGTGCCCAAGCTCAGTGGGTAGGGCGCAGGCCACACACACCGAGGCTGGTGGGTTCAAACCCAGCCCTGGCCTGCTAAAACAACGACAGCCATAACAAAAAATAGCCAGGTGTTGTGGTGGGGCCCTGTAGTCCCAGCTACTTGTGAGGCTGAGGCAAGAGAATCACTTAAGCCGGAGAGTTTGAGGTTTCTGTGAGCTGTGATATTACAGCACTTTACTAAGGGATGGTGACATAGTGAAACTCTGTCTCAAAAAATAAAATAAAACAAAACAAAACTTAGCTTGCTTGATACGATGATTTATTATTATATTGAAAACAGAGTATTTATAGACTTTCAAAGAATTAAAGTGATCCTTTTTATGCCATTTTTCTGTCTGCCATTTTTTTTTTTTTTTTTTGGAGACAGAGTCTTACTATGTCGCCCTTGGTAGAGTGCTGTGGCATCACAGCTCACAGCAACCTCAAACTCTTGGGCTTAAGTGATTTTCTTGTCTCAGTCTCACAAGTAGCTGGGACTACAGGTCCCCGCCACAACACCTGGCTAATTTTTTGTTACAGTTGGTCATTGTTGTTTAGCTGTCCTGGGCTGGGTTCAAACCCGCCAGCCTCAGTGCTTATGGCCAGTGCCATAACCACTGTGCTACAAGCGATGACCCCTGTCTATTTTTAACATCTCTCCACTATGTATTGGACCTCTCAGTTTCTTAGGACAATCATTGTCAGTACCTACATGCCTGATAATGAGCATGTGTGTAGGGTATGATTTTCATCATAAGCATTAGATCTCCTTCAATTAAGTAATTTGGAAGTACAATTTATGTTAGCATTTCTGTAAATTAGAAAGCAATTTTGTTGTACATTTTTTTTTTTTTTTTTGAGACAGAGCCTCAAGCTGTCACCCTGGATAGAGTGCTGTGGCATTACAGCTCACAGCAACCTCCAACTCCTGGGCTCAAGCGAGTCTCTTGCCTCAGCCTCCCAAGTAGCTGGGAGCACAGGCGCCCGTCACAACGCCTGGCTATTTTTTGGTTGCAGCTGTCATTGTTTGGCGGGTCCAGGCTGGATTCAAACCCGCCACCTTAGGTGTATGTGGCTGGCACCGTAGGTACTTGAGCCACAAGCGCTGAGCCGAATTTGTTGTAGATTACTAGCATCACCTACTTAGGGGGAAAAGTTATTATCAATACAACACAGCTAGTTTGTTTGAAGCCTCATTGTAATAGTGGGGCTGATACGGTCATAAAAGGGAGAATAAAAAGCGTGTGCTAGTGACATTCTGCAGAAGATTAGGAAGGGAAAGGGATTTCTCTGAAGGAAAAGATCATTAGCTTTTATAGGCAAAGGCTGTGGGTTTGTGGCTACAAAAACAATAACACAAGCCCTTTATTACTGAAATTCTTGGAGGAAAAAATGAATTTCTTATTGCAGTTCTAAAACTGTTTTCTAAATCGCATTCTTCGAACAATTTATGTAACATGAGTTTTCTTTTGCAGGTAAGTATTCCATTATAGCAGAACAGACTTTGAGAGGGTTTGCTTAATGATAATAACTAGAATTCTTAGGTAAAGTTTGCTGGCTGTTAATGAAATTTCAAAATAATTTTTTTTGCCCTCAATGTCAGATTTTCAGTAGCCAAATATGAAACGTTGATGTCCTTCTTTTGCTTACGTTGCAGTTCCATACTTTTAAAACATGTTTATAAATGAGTTACATTAGATACAATTAAACTTTGTAGAGAAGTTTATTCCTGTTATTAAAAATTTAGTTAGTGGTCTTTGTCTTAAGTTGCACAAAAGTTGAAGTTTGTTGTTTAAATTTGTATATTGATCTTTTTTTTTAAATTGTTATTGCTATCAGAATTGTACTAAAAATAAACCCACCAGCCATGCATTCCATTTTGGAAAGAATAGCAGCTGAGGAAGAAGAGGAGAATGATGGTCACTACCAGGAAGAAGAGGAAGGAGGTGCTCATTCTCTGAAAGACGTTTGTGATCTGAGAAGACCAGCCCCGTCTCCTTTTTCTTCTCGTAGAGTAATGTTTGAAAATGAACAGGTAGGATAAAACTGTGAGTAAGCAACAAAGGAGTAATACTATTGTCCTCTGTCACCTAGGAATGCTTTTAACTTTTTATCTTTTGAAAAATGCTTTGTATATTGTTTCTGCTAGGTTTTTAGCTTCAAGATTGAATGATAACTATTTTTTTCTTGATGTCTATTTTTTCCCCAGTTGAATGTTACATGCTTATCTATTCACATACCAACTCCTATTGATAGGTGAAGAAGATGCTGTTACTATTGTAAACATAAAATATTTGATCCCCTTTTTTGCACTAAACTATATTTTAGATGGTGATGCCAGGAGACCCTGTAGAAATGACAGAGTTTCAGGATAAAGCAATCAGTAATTCTCACTATGTGCTGGAACTTACGCTACCAAATATTCATATAACACTACCTAATAAGAACTTTTATGAGAAGCTTTATAATAGGTAAGTTTAAAACACATTTAGTTAAATCTTTGGAATCACTTTCTGCCTAGCTGCCTCCCTGTTTCCCCCTTGTTCTCCTTGCTGTAATGCTGTCTACTATCTCTGTACTTTGTATGGCGTTCATGATGACTGTACAACTGCTCCCATTAAAATGCGCTATTGTCAGAGCAGTTTCCTAACCAGAGTGGTGTTCAGTTACTGGTGTGTGAGATACTTATTTCCTCATTCCTTAGGTTAGCTTGTTGCTTCCCGTCAGCTTCCTTCAGGGAACGAAACAAATGCAATCTTTTCTACGTGTGCAGTGACATGAAGAGTTAGGAAATACTTGTGCCAAGGGCTAGCAGATCCTGGGGTAGAATCAGAATCCTTGAGTCATTGTATAAGCAATAGCTTTCCTCAGAATTCATATAGGTATTTTGTTGGAATTCTAAACTCTGACTTATAAAAATTTAAAAACTTGAATTTATTATATTTCAATACCCTTCAACAGATAGACCAAACAAATAATGTTGAAATAGGTGGGATTCTAGGTCATAGACTCTGATGACCTTGAACAACTGACATAGAATTTATGAGGTTCAATTTCCTTACCTGTAAAATGGAGATGATACTGGTTCCCACCTCAGAGGGTTGTTTGGAACATTAAATGACGGAACGCTTAGAGAATCTGAAAAGAGTGTTTGTTATATACTAAGCATTTAGTTGTCATCTTTTATTTTATTGCAGTTTTTGGCTGGGGCTGGGTTTGAACCTGCCACCTCTGGTATATGGGGCTGGCGCCTTATTCCTTTGAGCCAAAGGCCCCGCCCATCTTATTTGTGTGTGTGTATGTGTGTGTGTGAGACAGAGTCTCACTTTGTTGCCCTTGGTTGAGTGCTGTGGCATCACAGCTCACAGCAACCTCAAACTCTTGGGCTTAAGCAGTTCTTTTGCCTCAGCCTACCAAGTAGCTGGGACCACAGCCACCTGCCGCAACACTCAGCTATTTTTTTTGTTGTTGTTGTTGTAGTTGTCATTGTTGTTTAGCAGGCCCTGGCCGGGTTTAAATCTGCCAGCCCTGGTGTATGTGGCCGGCACTCTAACCACTGAGCTACAGGTGTCAAAAGTTGACTACTGAGTCATATCTTATTATAAATTCCACCCACTGATTTCTTCTATAGAATACCTGAAAGATGGTCATTTGGGCTTCCTAGAAAAAGAAGTCCTAGTATTTGTCATCACTAGCTTCCAATAAGGAAGCAAGTTATTCTAATTTCCATTAGTCTTCAAAGACTCCAAATTGTGTATCTGCTATAGGTTTTCTTGATATTAGATATCCTTGGCTCTTTATTCCTTAATTGATTGCCATTGACTATTAGGTTGTTTTTTTTTTTTTTAAATAGAGACAGAGTCTCACTTTGTCACCCTCGGGAAAGTGCTGTGGCATCACACAGCTCATAGCAACCTTCAGCTCTTGGGCTTAGGCTATTCTTTTGTCTCAGCCTCCCAAGTAGCTGGGACCACAGGTGCCCACCACAATGCTCGGCTATTATTTTTGTTGTAGTTTGGCTGGGGCTGGGCTTGAACCTGCTACCCTTGGTACGTGGGGCCCGCGTCCTACACACTGAGTCACAGGCACCACCTGAGTATTAGTTTTAAAATCAGAAAATTAAGTTCCAAGAAGGATCTTGGGGTCCACATTAGTTCAGAGATCTTACAAATGAGATTCAGAAGACAGTCTATTAGGGTATAGTAAGAAAATGTTAGCATTGCTATTTAACTTAAGAAGTAATCTTAAAAATTTGTTTTTTAATATGCATGATAAATAGTACTCAAATTCATATAAATTCACATTAGAGGGGTTCATATATTGCTTTGGACTGTTGGGATCTGTTTACACATGATAAAAAGTTTAAAATTGGCGGCACTTGTGGCTCATTGAGTTAGGGTGCTGGCCCCATATACTGAGGGCGGCAGGTCAACTGCAACCAAAAATAGCTGGGTGTTTGTTGGCGCTTGTGGCTGAAAGGAGTAGGGTGAGTTAGGGTGCTGGTCCCGTATGCCAGAGGGGGCAGGTTCAAACCCAGCCCCAGCCAAAAACAGCAAAAAAAAAAAAAAAAAATAGCCAGGTATTATGGTGGGCACCTGTAGTACCAGCTACTCGGGTGGCTAAGGCAAGAGAATTGCCTAAGCCCAAGAGTTGGAGGTTGCTGTGAGCCGTGTGATGCCACGGCACTCTACCAAGGGCAAGAAAGTGAAACTCTGTCTTTATACAAAAATAATTTAAAAGTTTAGAACTGCTGATCTCTAGGCTTCTCCCCTTATTTATTTATTTCAGTTTTGGCCAGGGTTGGGCTCGAACTTGCCAGCCCTGGTATATGGGGCCGGCACCCTGCTCCTTGAGCCATAGGCGCTGCCTTCCTCCCCTTGTTTTATAGTTGAAGGATGTCTGCTAGGAGCTAATACATGTGCAAGGCTAAGATAGAGGTTAGTGAAACAGCTCCTTCAAGACCCAGCCTAGAGGTCACAGGGCTTGACTCATTTCTTTCTCTTTCTGCATTGATGGAGCAGATTGTTTTCGGTTAAATCGGGTTATAAAGAATAGTCATACATACCTTAAACATTTAATTTATAAGTGTATGCTTATTTACTACTTCATTTTAAAATACAGAACAGGGCCCTTTGTTTTTTTTTTTTTTTTTCCAGAGACAGGTCTTACTGTATTACCCAGTCTGGAGTTGTGTGATCATAGTTCATGGCAACCTTGAACTCTTTAGCTTAGCCTTCTGAGTAGCTAGGACTATAAGTGCATACCACCACGCCTGGTTAAATTTTTTTTTTTTTGAGACAGAGCCTCAAGCTATCCCCCTGGGTAGAGTGCTGTGGCATCACAGCTCACAGCAACCTCCAACTCCTGGGCTCAA